GGAAATATAATTTTACATATCACAAATATGTAAAGAGAGCTGACAAGGAAAAATAAGTGTCCAAACTGACAAAGCTACAATATGTGTCAACTAAGGCACTAGGACTAATATGATCAAAGTAGAAAGTATATCAAATAAATTGGAGCTGAAAGTAGAATCAGATTGGAAACGACCCAAACCAAAGGCAGAGCAATTTGAGATAGATGCAGTATATTTTGATAAAGGAGATAGATGCAGTATTTTACCCACATTCACATTAATAGACATGCTTTGAGGCATGCAACACTTATACTTCTGTTTGAAAAATGCTTTCCCATAATTTCAAATGTTAAAAGTATGCCAGACAACAAAAGTCAGAAAATTTACGAATTCACACCTCATAATCCTAATTTGTCAATTTAACAAACACTGATAATATAACTTTGTAAAAGCAGCTAGTAATATGGGTCAGATATTATATAGTATGAGTTGTCATTATAGCCACCCACTGGAAACCATCATTTCTGGTCCATTACTTGAGATATTATATAGTAAATTCTGAGAAATTTACTGTTTAGGAAGGGAAAATCTTTGAATCTACTTATTATTGTTGGGAGATATGACTATGACTATGCAAATGCATTCTTTCTTAGAGGATTTTCAAGTTTGGTAGTGTTTATGATTATAGAGGCTTTTGTGGTATGTATATATTGCTTCATAGTTAATATTTTGTATTTTAATAATAGAGAACTGATATTTTCTCTTTATATTTTGAAAAGTTCATAAGCGGCACTTGAAAGTTAATATTTTTCTATGGATAAATCTTGGATTAGAAAGCCAAGGAACACCAGAGAATATTTATTTGGTTTAAATCAGTTTTTAAATTTTGCATTTGCTAATGCTGTTGTTGGAGATAGAATAAAGTGTCCTTGTCCTAAATGTGGATTCGCAAAGTGGCAGACTAGAGAGGTAGTGCTCGAACATTTGATTTGCAAACCATTACCTCAAAATTATGTCACTTGTACTATTCATGGTGAAAGAAATATACTGCCTAATTCTATAAATAATGTGGTTATACAAGATACATTACCTCCTGAAAATCCAGTAGAATTATTGATTAATGAAGCATTTGGGGTCCTAAGGCACGATGGGGTTAATGTAGGCCCGTCACAAGTATCGGGTGGTGAAGAAAGGTTAAATGATGAGCCTGCTTCAAATGATAAAGACTTTTTCGAGTTGCTTAGAGATGGAAGTTAAGAATTGTTTGAAGGGTCCAAGTACTCAAAACTAGAATTTTTATTAAAATTATATCACATAAAATGTTTGTCTGGGCTAAGTGACAAGGGAATGACCATGATACTAGATTTGTTGAGGGATGTATTTACATGTTTGCACGGATCCCTCATTCTTTTTATGAGGCCAAGAAAACTATCAGCAAGCTTTATCTTGATTATATCAAGATAGATGTTTGTCCAAATGATTGTATGTTATTTTGGGGGAATGATGCTAATGAGGAAACATCTAAGTATTGTCACACTTCTAGGTGGAAGCGTAATAAGAAAAGAAATGAAGATCTTATGTCTGCTTCAAGTAAGAAGAAACCAAGAAGAAAACTAAGAAGCCTGCAAAGATTTTGCGTTACTTTCCAATTAAACCAAGGTTATAAAGATTGTTCATGTGCTCTAAAATAGCAAAATATATGAGATGGCATGCTGAGGATAGTAACAAAGATAGAATCATGAGGCATCCTAGAGATGGTGAGGCATGGAAGAGGTTTGATACAACTTTTCCTGAATTTGCCGTTGATCCCTGGAATGTTCGGCTTGGCCTAGTTAGTGATGACTTCAATCCTTTTGGCACGATGAGTACTAATTATAGCATTTGGCCAGCCATTTTAGTTCCATACAACCTTCCTCCTTGGTTGTGTATGAAACAATCCAATTTTATTCTCTCAATGATCATTCCTGGTCCACGTACGGAGGGAAATAATATAGATGTTTACCTACAACCCCTTATTAAGGAGTTGAATGAGTTGTGGAGTGAAGGTGTCGAAACTTTTGATTCATCAAAGAAAGAGATGTTTAGATTGCGAGCTGCTCTTATGTGGACAATTCGTGACTTTCCTGGACTTGATATCTTATCTGGTTGGAACTCACATACTGGTTTAGCATGTCCCACTTGTAATTTTGATGTAGAACCTTGTCGGCTTCGCCATAGTAGAAAGTGGTGCTTTATTGGTCATCGTAGATTTTTAGCAAGAAATCATTAATTAAACTGATGAGGCATCACTTTGATGGAAATGTGGAGGAAAGAAACCCACCGAGAAAGTTATCCGAATCTGATATTTTGCAACAAGTGAAAGATATTGATGTTATATTTGGAAAATCGGCTGAGTTGAATGAGAGAAGAAAAAGATCTACACAAAGAAATATTGGGCAAGGTGCAACACAACAATGGAGGGAAAAAAGCATATTCTTTAATCTTCCATAGTGGGAGTTCAACTCGTTGCGCCACAATTTAGACGTCATGCACATCGAAAAGAATGTGTTTGACAATATTATATATTCTTTGCTCAATGATAAAGACAAGTCAAAAGATAATATTAAGGCGTGAAAAGATCTGCAAGATATGGGTATAAGGCGTGATCTTTGGCCTGATGAGAATGATGAGTATAGGCTTGCTGTATTTACCATTCCAAAGGAAAAGAAAGTGGCTTTCCTCACAACTTTAAAGAATATTTCAGTGTCAGATGGTTACTCGAGTAATATTTCTGATTGCATTGATCCGGATCAAAGGAGAATCTTTGGATTAAAGAGTCATGATTGTCACGTTATTATGGAGCAATTGTTACCAATAGCAATTTGCAATGTGCCGCCAAAGGAGGTTGTTGCAGTCTTAGTAGAGCTTTCCTCTTTTTTTCAGAGAACTTTGTCTTAAAAGTTTGAGTTTGGCGGATCTAGAAAAGTTACAAGATCCACACTTTGCCACTTGGAGATATTATTCCCACCATCATTTTTTACTGTAATGGTCCATTTAACTGTCCATCTAGTAGATGAAGCAATATAAGGTGGTCTGGTACATTACAGGTGGATGCATTTTGTTGAAAGGTAAAATATTTCTTATCCGAAATTTTGATGTATGTAATATTAATTCAAGTTAAGTGCTTATTCGAAACATGTTTCATTTTTTGTTTTAGATTGTTAGGTCATTTTAAGTCCTTCGTAGGGAATAAGGCACAACCAAAAGGTTCCATAGCTGAAGGTTACATTGTTGAAGAAGCTCTAACTTTTTGTTCTCGTTACTTTGAGGGGATTGAGTCAAGGCTGAATAGGCCTAGACGTGTGAATGATGAACCAAATCTTAATGAGGCTTCTGAAATATCATCTATCTTCCCTCCACAAGGTAAACCAGTTGGAGGCTCCTCAACGTTCCCCTTAACTACATTGGTGAAGACGCAAGCTCATCGATATGTGTTATTTAATTGTGCGGCAGTGAAGCCATTTATTAAGTAAATAAAATTGATATGAATATTGGCAAAAGTTTAGAGTTAAAATAATTAAAATTGATATAGTTAGCTCATTTGAAGTGAGTTTAGGGATTACATAAGAAAGAGCACAAGAGGACGGAGACTTTCAGCATCAGATTTGGAGAGGAAGGTTAATAGAGAGTTTCCTGATTGGTTCCCAAAACGGGTGAGTGAATGGTATAATAATTTTTGCTTCACATAGCTTTTCTCGTTGGATTTAATATGCTTGACTAAAATAAGTTTGTTATTATTAGATTATGAACCCAGAAATTGCAGACACCATCTCTACTGAACTGAAGTTCCTAGCACGAGGTCCAGCGCTAGATGCTAGAAGGTTCACTTCTTATAACATCAATGGATTTAAATTTCGAGTTTTTTCTAGAGATCAAGGATTAAAAACTCAAAATAGTGGAGTTTTTCTTACTTCTGACACCTTTTGTGTTGCATCTAGTGCTGATAGAAGTGCAAGGCAAGCAGACTTGCCATACTATGGGAAGTTAGAAGATATTATTGAGCTTAATTATTATCGATTCATAGTTGTGCTCTTCAAATGCCAGTGGGCAGACACTACTCGAGATAGAGGGTCCAAAGAGATGCTTGGAATTTTAATTGTGTCAATTTTTCTAGATTGATTCATATTGGTGATTGTGAGGATGATGATCCTTACATTGAAGCATCTCAAGCAAATATGGTATATTATGTTGATGATGTAACAGGTAAAGAATGGAGTGTGGCTGTACATCTAAAGCCGAGAGATTTATTTGATATGGGAGAGGTTGATGAAAATGAAATATGTGAGAATCAACCATACCAACAACAAGAACTTGAACAATTTTTTGATGATGCTTATGAGAATATCTAAATTGCAATAGATGAGCATATGTCTGAATAGGCATGTCAATTTTCCTGTATCCTTGTATGTTTATTTTTTTCTTCTATATATATGTACTTTATTTTGTATTTTGTTTTTTATTTTTTATTTTCTATTACTTATTATTTATTTTATTGATTGCAGATATGCCGAAGGCCAAACGTTTCCAGAACTTACAAAAGTTAAGTTCAATCAGCATCTTCTTCACAATCTACTGATGCGGCACCAGATATGACATCACTATTGGCTCCTTCGTTCCCAACTACATCATATACAACTCCTTCATGTCAGGCTACATCACTACCATCTTCTTTTATTTCAAGCCACAGGACAGCAAACCGCTTCATTTCAGGCCACAACACAGCCAAGGCAACAAGCTCTTTCATTTCAGGCCATGGGGCAGGCAACTCCTTGCATTCAGCCGACTCCTTCATTTCGGGCGACATCACTATCAACTCCTTCATTTCAAGCCACAAGATAGCAAACCGCTTTATTTCAGGCCACAACACTGCCAACTCCTTCATTTCAAGCCACAAGATAGCAAACCGCTTTATTTCAGGCCACAACACTGCCAACTCCTTCATTTCAGGCCACGGGACAGACGACTCCTTCATTTCAGGCCACAGGACAAACAACTCCTTCATTTCAACCTCCAATTAATCCCACACCAGCACAAGCAACATCCAATAAGCGTGCTAAACATGAGTCTTCACATCATTGAACTGTCGATGGAATAGGTAATATTTATCCTTTCGTTGCTGCATAGGACTTTAGAGTCTAATTGTGAATTTGTCTAATTATGGCTCTTGGCATGTTTGTTGAATTTTGTCTGATATTTCTGGTGATTTATACTTCCATTAAGTAACAAGAGTCCGTTTTCCTTCTGATAAGGCAACATATGCCTTCTATGAGCTAAGCAACACACATTGTGTGGCTGTTGAGAGGTTCTTGGACGCAACATGCTTTATATGGTTGTGTTGGTTTCCTGATTGCAGACTATGAAATCTTTGTTGCCATGGACTGTTGTACATCTGTTGCTGCTTCACCTATATGCTCCTATGTGTGGCTGTTACTATTTGCTAGATTCAAGATAGGACTAGGTTACTTTAAAAATTCCTGTATCTTTTGTGGATTGATGTTAGCTTTTTACTATCTGCTCCTATGTGTGTATTGTTACTATCTGCTCCTATGTGTGTTTCACAGTAATAGTAACTTTCAATATAATGAATTATTCAAACCTCTCTATACCATATCTCTTACCTTCACTTTCTTGCTTTTATTTTTATTTATTAAAGATTCACATGGAGATGCCAAAAGGCTCAAATTGAAGACTAGAGAAGCATTAAGTCTACCTCAGGGAGAAAGTGTTGTGGTGGAGTTTGATTGCTTGGATCCGATTGGCGAAGCACAAGGCCTTCTTGCAGGCGTATGTGGCTTTTTAGCAACTGACTGTACCATATTTCCAATTAGCTTTGATAAATGGTCGGATATGCCTAAGTCATACTTTAACGACTGCTTTAATAACATTATAAAGGTATAAGCTCTATATCTTTATAACTATATCTCTATTTTGTCTTTTACTTTTATATTTGTATATAAAAGATAAACTAACCAAAATTTATTTTTGAAGTCTCATTTCTGTTTTGTGACCCTTGAGGAAGTTGCACGAGAATATGTTTATCGCTCTATTGCAAAGAAGTGGGCTGCAAGTAGGCAGAAGTTGTGGGACGAGTTTAAAGACCCACTTAAAACCAAAGATGAGATTATGGATAATGTTCCGGTAGGTATTACTCGGGATCAATGGACTTTCTTTGTGAACTACCGTTCTAAAGAAGAAACTCAGGTATTTTTCTGAAACGTCACATTGAAATGCATAAAAATATGATTATTCATTTATATAATTGACTGAAATGTATCTTATTGTTAGAACATGTGTAAAAGAAATGCTGAAAATTGGAAAAAACAAACAGTTCCACACACCGGTGGCTCCAAACCTAATTCTAAAAGAAGGGCTGAAATGGTGAAACACGTCACATTATTTACCTTACTTTACTATTTAAATTTTAGATATTATATCTATTTTTTTTCTTAATTAAATTATTCTGAATTATTTTTGTTTTCATACATAGATGGCTGGGACAGGGAGAAAGCCTGGACGAGCACAACTTTATCTTGTTACACATGAAAAAAGATGGATCATATGTAAATGAGGAGGCAAAAGAAATATGTGTAATTTACATTCATGATTATTACAAATGATTTCCATGGAGTGATTTATATTCTGAATATCTCTACAAGTTTTGGCACATCTATTACACTTTTCCTCATCTTTAATTCCACTTCCACTGATATGCTAAAGTTGGGGAAATGTAGTAAAAAAGGAGTTGGACGAATGTCAAAACTTCAAAGAAGCCTTGTCTCTACTATTTTGTTTTTTCCTTGTAAATTTTTTGTTGAAACCTTGTATATTATTATGGCACGTTATTTATAATATGTATGCCTCTAGGCGATACTTGCACAAGTTGTTAGATATTTCAGTTTTTGAATTGCATAACTGAATGTTGCAAGAGCAGTAATGAATGTTGTGCCACTCCACGATTTGATAATCATGACACTTTATTTCTTCTTAAGAATGCAGCCATGATTAACCATTGTCTCAAGTCCCATCTAGTGTAGATAAGTCAATTTTGATTTACCTCAGTCTTTTTGGCTCTTAAGACATTGCTGTTCTTTTGTGTTTGCCTTTTTTTTTAACCTTAAAAGATTTATGTGACTTAAAACTTATTATTGGATAAGTTGTCTTGAATCTATTTACATTGAGTTGGTCACCCCATCCATGAGTTTTTGGCACTCCACATCTATTACATTTTTCCTCTAGTTGGTTCAGTACATGTGTTGGTTTGGATTAATGTTTACATGCAATTTTTAATTCTAGTTAATAGATTTTTGTGATGTGTATAGGAAAAAATTAAGCTAGCAGTGAGTGAAAGTACAGTGGATGAGTCTGAAATTTCTCCAAATGATGCTGCTGGTAAGGTGCTAGGCAAAGAGTATCCTGGAAGGGTGAGATGTTTGGGATTAGGAGCTACTCCAAGCAATACTTTCAGAGAGACAAATCTTCGTCCTGGTAATATTAGAATTGTGAGTAATAATGTCGGATGTTCTTCTGGATGCCAAGAGAAGTACAATCAATTGATGAATACTCTCAAAGCATACATGATAATGAAGGAAGGGTCAATAGCAGAACAATTTGCTGGGATATTTGCTTCTACTCCTACAACGGTAAATGCTAAGTTCTTTAATTTTTGGTGTATTGTGCAATTTTATCTATCACATCTGTTATTACAAATAGTTTATTTTTGTTTTCAGTTAGTAGTGAGCAGGCCTTTATTTTTCTGTTCCTATTAAATTGTGAGATGTGGGTGTTTTCTTGGAATAATATATTCTGAAAGTGCAGAAACACAATTAACTTTAAATCTTTATTCTTCTTCATATTTAGTTGAAACATGATGAATAACTTCTTCATATTGCTCCTTAATACTGGCTAAAACTATAAGTGGACTTGGCTTTTTAATATCAATACAAGAGAAAATTCTTGTCAATTCGTTTACCCATTAATCTTATCATTCCAACGTTAGATTCAGTTTGCTGCAATTTTAGTCCTTATTATGGATTTGTCAAGATACTCCTTTGACTTTAGTTCTGCACCCTCATTTTCACATATTATTTACTTTTTGCTGCAGCCGAGAGATGCAACTAGCGGACCCGTTTCACTGACGGATGCAAAAAGATCTTCTAGCGCTAGTAATCTCTGTGACAGCAATTGAGATTCATTTTAATTGAAGTGGATGTATTAGGATAATGTAATAGCTGACTAATATAGATGATTAACTATGTTCTAGTTTAGCTTGATGACATATAATACTACTTTGACAGTATTTTTCATGGTTAATGAAATGTTGATGTTTCTTAATTTTAATGTTTTAGTTTAAGCATAAATATTTCAATTGATATTAGGGAAAAAGTATGACGTATTGATGATAAAAAATCAATTCTATAATATATTTAAATATAGATGAGGTTAAAACCCCCAAAAAGAAATTGGATAGATTCTGATGGTGTACAGCTACGAAATTGCGGGGGTTTACAACCCCTACACTAAAAAAAAAAAAATTTTAAAAATAAAATTCTGTTTTCGTGCATGAAATTGCGGAGGTTAAAATTGCAATTTGCGGAGGTTAGAAACCTCCACTATTTACTGTCACGGCGGTTCGTCAAACCCTCGCATTCATTTGCCGCAAATTAATAGTGGCGATGCTTACTACGGGGTCTGCTCAACCGCTGTGACGGCAAATAGCAGAGGTTTCTAACCTCCGCAAATTGCAATTTTAACCTCCGCAATTTACCCATTTTTTTTTGTAGTGTAGAGTTATGGAAGCTTTTGTTAAAAGTCTTAGAATTTAAAGTGTTGTTGGGGAATGAAAATGTGNGGGGGGTTTATAAATTTTCATCCACTTTTTAGTTAATTGGGTAATGTTCTGTTATCCGATAATTAACCAACTACCCGTATAATTAAGAATTTTTTCCACTTACTTAAAATATTACTCGCTTTTCACATACCTTACTATCATGGCCATGTGGTACCTTGTATGGTACTAGTCTATAAATATCGGGTATTTTAGCTCGGGCCGTATTTTACCCCAAAATGCCAACTTTGACAAAAATTCATTTTCTTTGACTTGCTTCCCTTTAACCTTCATGAATTTACTCATCACTTGTGAAATAACATAATCCTTATAATCTCCAAATAATCTTTTACTTGGTCTGATGTCAATTACCTTACGACAAATTCAACGTACAATACTACAGGGTGCAACATCGCCGTAACTTAATACTGCGAAGTGTAACATCACCGTAATGTGATACTGCAGGGTGCAACATTGTCGTAACTTAATACTGCAAAGCGTAACATCATCGTAATGTAATACTGCAAGGCGTAACATTATCATAATATAATACTGCAGGACGTAACATCATCGTATTATTGCGGAGTGTAACATCATTCCCCCCTTTGCAACATTTGTCCTCGGATGTTGACCGATGCTTTTATCATTTTCATAACTTCTAGCTGTTGTGAATACCTTAATACTCTCCTTGCCATTTAAGCAGTTGCTCTGTGAATAAATCCAAGTCTAAGGTATTCCCCCCTTTAGTGTTTTTGCTCATATCATGACTTGTGGTCGAAATCTTTCTAATCTCGCAACTGCTGCTACCTCATGTCATGCAGCCTATATGACCCTGGCTTTGTAAGTGCGCTTGTGCGATTCATCTTTCCTTTTTCCTTTTAGCTTTTAGTCAATCTCTAGGCCTTACTTTGTAAACATATACAAAGCTTAATATGATGCCTCTCTGGGCATCTATAGGTGTACTGAAGTTCTTCTCTCTATACTTTGTAGAACTTGTGAATATGGCCATATCTTATTTCATAGATCTGGTTATCCATTTGTATGGCTTTACTGCATCAACATGGGTCATACTATACCATAATTCTTCCTCCAATTTATCGTTACTAAGGTCTTCAGCCAACTCCAGGTTACCCTCGTTGCTTATCCTTAAGACTGATGCTGTAATCTCACCTGATACTGTTGGAATTTTATCCTTCTATTGTTGATTCACCTTAATATTTATTCATCATCTACCACTGATAACTTGATCTTTTATGTAACACCTCTGCTAGGGCTCGTGTCTCATCGGGGACATCACGAGTAATTAGGTGATCCTAGGGGTGATATTATACTTCCATAACCGCACTTTATAGCATCCCAATGTGAGCCACCTTATATGGGTATTTTAGCCCCTTACAGTTCATGCAATCCTCTTCAAGTCATTACTCAACGAAGGCCCAAATATCATCCTTTATCTATCAAAATTACGCCATTATTCCACTACCAGGGCATCATTCCATCTCTTCTAAATGCTACTAGTCTTAGACTCCTTTGAGTTTATTCTGGCTATACTGAGCCTTCTATAATTTAGAGAATTCATCAGCTCTCTTATTTTCATGAGCTTAATCCCAAGAAGTTATCCATTCTTGTCACCTTTTCTAATCCTTCCATAACCTCCCTTCCATATAGGTATAATTTGCCTCCACCACCTGAAGCTCTATTATAATACTTACACCTCTGGTGCATATACAATCAAGCTTCATACTGACTTCTTATGAAGCTAGTACTCTTCGAACTGGCTTTATTGTAGAGCTGTTATAGAATATGGCTACTGTATTGTCTCTCTTGTATCTCTGATATTAAGAGTGATTCTGCAATGTTCTCAATCATGATGTCTACAACTTCCTAGGTCCAATAAGCAGACTCCTAATTTACTTAGTTGATGTAACTCTTTAGTTTCCTCTTTCTTCTGATTAGCCTTTATATAGGCTCAAGCTATCTTCCGATCTGTGGCTCATGACATTTAGTTATTACTTTAGCCTTTTATGGACGCTATTAAAAACCATGATAAAATCTTCTATTGATTCAATCCTTTGTCTATGACCTGGACCCAATTCTTTCTTTTAACTTGTACCGGAGTCTTCTCGGCTGATCATTAATTGAATAATTCCTTTCGTTCCATTTCAGCTTTCTTCAAACGTAAGCAATTGCTTTTCCTGGTCTTTTGCCCCTTGTAGCGTGCCTACTTAGCTTATATTAGTGTCCACATATATTGAAATTCCATAGAACTCATATGATTTTGAATATCACTTCTGATTTTGCTCTCTGTTCATTAGCCACGGTAGGTGCCACTTTCTTAGGGAGTGCATACAATGCTGTTTTGAGACTGTTGTTATAAGACTATTTCCTCGTTAGGCCACTGAGTTTAGGTTGCTGCCTTCTTCCTTATTTTCCTTAACTAGTCTTTTATTGTAGTACTTAGGGAGGACTCTCTGAATCTTGTAAAGCTATGAGCTTATTACATTGTATACTCGACAGACCTTCTGATGTCCTTCCTTGCCTATACTTATCTGTAGTTACTTACCTCCATGCCCTTGTGCTTGTGGGGTTGCTTCTGGACTAATATTTTGATTGCCTTCCTAGTGGCACTTTCTTTTATCCCCGTAACACTCATACGGTACCTTTAACTACCCCGACTCCTATTTGAATGTATCTTAAGTATTATAATGGCATTACTGCGAGGCTGAATTCTCCATGTTGGGGTTTACTACATTCATCTTGCATGATCTACTGATTTGTCCGTAACTTCTTATCTAGTCATGACTAGGCTCTTCCTGAATCAACTACTATTTACTAGTTGGCCCATTCTCATATCCATATTCTGCGTAATCTTTCTTGGATTATTTCCTTATCTTAACTTACCTCACGTGTTAGCTCCTTATCTATCAATAGCATCCCGGGCAGGAACCCTTACTTCCCCCCTTTTTTTTGACTTCGCACTTACATAATGTCTTGGAATCATAGCATATGTGTAATATTTGGATAAGTGTAATCTCATCCCTTTCTCATTTTTATCACATTCTTCCTTTATCATTGCATATTCCCCCCTTTAGGGGATTACTAAGACTTGGAGCTATGACAACCTGCCTATAGATGTTTTTCCTCTTCATATTTGGCGTCCTTTCACATCATCGATGACCCTTACTCACTTGCGGTAATCCTTTTGTACCAAGGATAAAGAAATTCCTCACTCGCAATGGTGACATTTAGTGTAACTGGCACATACAGTCGCTATTAACTTTGCTCACATTGCTTGCTTTAGGGAAGCGTCTTCCTAAATGACCATTCTTTGAATTTCTCATGAATTTTCTTCTGTTGTCCATTCTATTATCACCGGAAAGCAATCTGAAATTCTCATGATGCCGACCGTTATCAAATCACTCAGTCCCTAAATTCATATTTAGTTTATCTTGTTCACCAGCCCATACTGATTTCTATTATTCTGGGGTTTAATTCTCCCTTCTAGTAATCACGTTAGAGTCACGAACTTATTCCTTGAGATGAGGATATGACTTTATGGCATATACTCTTTTGTTGTCCTAAGGCCTGTCACCTCTCGTCTCTTCATTCACTTGACTAGACTCTATAATACTGTCATTTCTTCTTCTTTTTTTCCTACCGTCGTTATCAATGTATCACACCTTATTCATAATGCTTCCTTATCTCTCTTCTCATTACTCTGCGAATATTTTTGCATCTCCCTTTTCTCGTGAAAACTGCAACACAACATTCTTTCGCTTTTAGCTCTCCTTGCTTCATTCATCGGCTCTTCGGGTTGCTCAACATCCTTTCTCTACTAGGGACGAGAGTCATACTAAGGCAATATTTATCTCTTCCAGGCTTTCTATCATCTAATTTTTTTTGATCATGCTAGTATTCACATCTAATTGTAATATTTTAGAGTGCATCATCTGGGTGTTTTACAAAAAGATCTATTAGCACATTTGCATTATCCTTCGGCAATGTCAACTAATACAAGTAACCTATTCACCAATTTGGGTTACCCTAACCCTAGCTTGTGACGACCCGGCCGACCGTCTTAAGAATTAACACCCCAATCCCCTACTAACTGCTTTCCCCGTATTTATTTATGCTCTTTTGATTTACCGGGATGTTCGGTTTTGAATTTCGGAGAGTTTTGAGACACTTAATCCCTAAATGAGAGCTTAAGTTTTAGAAATTTGACCATAGTTAGAACAGTGTTAAGACGGCCTCGGAATGGAATTCCAATAGTTCCGTTAGCTCCGTTGGGTGATTTCGGGTTTAGGGGCGTGTTCGGATTGTGTTTTGGAGGTCCGTAGCTAATTAGGGCTTGAAATGCCAAAAGTTGAATTTTTGAAGTTTCCGGTTTGATAGTGAGATTTTGATCTGAGGGTCGTAATGGAATTATGGAAGTTGGAGTAGCTCCGTATTGTTAAATGTGACGTGTGTGCAAAATTTCAGGTCATTCGGACGATGTTTGATAGCC